GGGTCTCGAACCCACGGGCTCAGGCAATTCATTCACCTCAGCCTCCCAAAGGCGCGGGATTACGGGCTGAGCCACTGAGCCCGGCTTTTTTTTATTTTTTTTACAATTCAGGGTTACATATAAAAATGGTCATTGTACAGGTAAAGTTTGGGCATCACTTTGGTCCCCATGTCACCTGGTTTGAGATCAGGTACCCTTATTAATGAAGTGTGCCCCCTCTCTGCTCCCTCCCTGGCAATTTCCCACTACTGTCAATCACTTTCTTACAGTATTATGATAATTGTTCAGGGTCTGCTTATGAGTGAGAACACGTGGTACTCAGTTCTTTGTTTCTGTGGTAGATCACTGAGTATTATAGACTCTAAATTCATCCAAGTTGCTGCAAAGTTCATAATTTTGTCCTTCTTTATGGCTGAGTAATATTCCATCATGTATATGTACCACATTTTTTAATCCAGTCTACTTCCAATAGTTAGTTCCATGTTTTTGCTATTGTAAATAGTTCTGCAATAAACATGCATGTGCAGGTATCTTTTATTCAGAGGTATCAAAGAACTCTCGTCTGTCCTGCTGTGTGACCCTTTGTCTCCTGGGACAAGGAATTTCTGGAAAAACACAGAAGTCCGTGTCCAGAACACACAAGCCTTGGATTCATGTATTTTTAAAAAATTCTTTCCTAGATTCTTTGTTTAGCTTTGAATTTCTTCTCTAACATATTCTGTGGAAGTTTGACTCACACAGAGTTACACAGTGACCAAAATACTAAGACATAGAGCTAGGAAAAAAGACACTTCTCTCTGAATAGCTTCTAAAGCACATTAGAATATACTATAATGAGAACTCCAAACTGCCACTGAAACTATTGTTCTCTGACATTAGTGAGGAAACCACTGGAAATGGGATGGTTCTAATATCCTGCACAAGGAATGTCCAGACCATGTTCACAGATACATCCGTGTCAATCATTCCCTGAGCCAGATGATGTAGTCTGGGACCTTTGTGGCCCTGTAAAGTTACCTGCTTCCTGTATACAATGCATTCTTGAGAGGTGATAGGATAGGGTAAGACGACCTGTTCAATGAGAGGAAGAAAAAGAGAGCAAGAACAGTAAGAGTAGACAACCTAATTTCTCCTTGTTGTCTTGGCATGACTAGAAAGAACACAAATTCCCTCCCTTCAGATGAGGAGTTTATAAAGCAATACATATGGATGTAAATGGACTTGAAAAATCCCACTCTAAAGCTATTGAGCTATTTTCTTTTTCAGAGTAATCCTAATACTGAAAAGAACTCTGCAGCTGTGACGTTTCATCACAGGTTCCAGTCCCACAACAAAGTTGTACGAGAAGTAGTATGTGAAGTCGAAGACAAGCAACTTAAAAAATGTAAATTGTCACTGAATGTTTCTTTAGTAAGTTTTAAAGGCTTTACATTTACCAACTAGAAAGAACAATTTATATGCAATTATCATCTAGAGTTAAAATATTCTTGAGTATAATAAACATAATTACTCAATTAAAAAATCCATTAAGGCCAGGCTCGGTAGCTCGGCCTGTAATTCCAGAACTTTGGGAGGCCGGGACGAGTGGATTACCTGAGCCCATGGGTCTGAGACCAGCCCTGGCAGCTTGGCAGGACCTCACCTCTACAATAAATAAATAAATAAAATAATTTTAAAAAATTAAAAAACCCATTGACCATAACCAACAGCAAATTAGACAAATCAGAAAACTAATCTGTAAACTGTATAAAAATTCAAGAAATAGTCCAGAATTCTTAAGAAACAGAAAGAGATATATTACATGTGAGAAAAGGGTACTATCACAACAGTTTTATTCATGATGGAAAAACTGGAAAACATCCAGTGGGTCATCAACAATGCAAAAGATTGCCTGTAATCCCACGCCTTTGGGAGGCTGAGGTGAGTGGATTGCCTGAGCCCGCGGGTTCGAGACCCGCCTGGGCAAAGAAACCTCATCTCTACAATAAATCAAAAAAATCAGCCGGGCATGGTAACGCATGCCTGTAATTCCAGCTACTTGGAAGGCTGAGTCGGAAGGATCACTGGAGTCCAGCAGGTCTAGGCTGCGGTGGCCGGGAGCGGCCACTGCACTCCAGTCTGGGCGACAGAGTGAGACTCCAACTCAAAAAAAAAAAAAAAAAAAAAAAAAAAAACATTGC